TAGTTCATGCATATATGGTTCCCACTTTACAATAAGCGTCACAAAGAGCATTAACAAATGGTTAATTAAGGTTAAGTAATGGTTTTTCACTACTGTGATACATTTACGAAGTGTTAGTTCATGTATATATGGTTCCCACTTTACAATAAGCGTCACAAAGAGCATTAACAAATGGTTAATTAAGGTTAAGTAATGGTTATTCACCACTGTGATACATTTTTAAAGAGCATTAATAAATGCGTAATTACGAGTAAGTAATGCTTACAGTATACAACAGGGATGGGAAGGTCAGGTCTTCAAGAGCTACCGCTGTGCATGCTTTCCAACGATCCATGCCCTATCCAATGCAGAATACCTGGATCATGTGTATACAGTCAATCAGAAGCTGGAAGCTACCATCTCAGATGAAGGTGGAGCTAGGACAGACAAAGTGAATTTGTTGGTTGGAGGATGGACAAGTAAGTGGACAATTATTACTCTTAAATGAACATTAAAACAGCCTTCTCCTAATGAAACTGCTAAGCTGTGACCTTCATGAAATAAATGTTAATATCTTTATTGACAATTTACTAGTACCGGTATTACCAAGAGACATTTAAGTTGTTAAATGCAATGCTTATTATTGTATTATTTAACGTTTAGTTAATGCTTATTACTGCATCAACAAATGTTAGCAGTGTCGTTAAACACTATTAAATAATGTATGAGGTAATACTTTAATTAACATGAAAAACATTAGTACATGATTAATAAATGCATTAGTTACCTATTAGTTAATGCTTATTACTGCATTAAGTACGGTTAATTAATGTACCCTTAATGTTACCAACATTTTTGTCTCATTTACTAAACATGGACACTTCTAATTTAGCATGGGACAGATTTCCTGTTGTAATTAGAGGTTCCTGACACTAACACAGTATACATACTATGAACTTTGTTAATTGCAAAAAAAATTATTACTCTTTGCTGGAAAGACAGACAAGTATTTAGAATGGAAAAACATGACTGCAAACTTACAAAATGAAATACCTAGCTACTGATCATCGGTCACATCAAAAACCTGGATGCTGTTTTCATAACTCGGGTCATTTAACAAGTGGACCAATTTTTGAGCCTTTTGTGAAAATTTGATTATGTGAGTGTACAGGTACAAATTAGAGGTTAATTTAAGCGATGTTTTATTTCTCTTAATTCTTGCAATAACAGTAACTTTAGTTTCATATTTATGTTCTCGAGATGTTATTTTTTACTAGAAAACTGTGAAGCTGGTTGTCAAGGAATGTTAATGTAAATGAAAATGTTTTTTTAAAAAAAAGGCCACTATCATCAGCATTAATATGAGGGGCTTTTCCTTCACAGGATGCTAGGATGGGATTGGTTGAGATATTTAATCAACACGTTCCACTGTGGCAGTAAACACATTATAAAATACCTCCCTTTTTGCAGCGATGAAAAGTTAAAACAGAGTTAGCTTTGCTCATGTTAGTCTTAGCAAAATTAAATGTATATACAAGGCTCAGAAAGCTACATTTGTGCACACTTCACAACCTAGTGAACGCTTGTTGACTATTGTATCCAGGCAGTGCACCTATCAGACAGATTACTGCTATTGTGCTATGGCCGTGTCTTTGTGAGGCCAGTGACTACAGAGTGACAGTCAGGACTGTGTCAGCTAGAAGAATCCTGACAAAGAAGCCGTCACTTCCTCTAGGTTTCATTGATTTTACTGCCGAAGATTCACTTGGATTCTTCTTGCTATCAATAGAATATGGCTGTTTGGAAAAGACTGTATTGTTTGATAAACAGGTACCCTAAAGAAAATGTCCAAAATATAGGCTGAGTATTTTAAGACACATATGTACAGTACATACTGCATGTAGCAACCAAAACTAATTACTAACAGCATGTTTAACTAACTAATTGCACATGCACAATCATATTAGATGATTTTGCTGACCAGTCTATTGTGATGGCTATTTAATTTAATAATTATGTAAGCAAACTGAAGAATTTGTGTATCGAAAAAAGAAATATAAAAATGCTTTTTCCTTTTTTGGGTGGGAAGGGGATAGGGGGGTGAAGGCAGAGGAAGGAGGAGGGGTGGTGAGTAAGAGCCACTTTCTTATGCTAAGCAGGCGTGCGGCTGTCCTCTATTGTGTGGCGTGAGGACTCTTTTCTCCGGCCAATTTGAGCATGCTTCAGTGGCCAGCCTGGCCCTGGCCCCCTGACATATACAGAGTCACAACAAAAGCTGGAGAATGTTGCCCCTTCCCTCGGTGCGATTCCCTCATTGCTCTACTCTACATTACGTTCCCCAGGCTCCCCTCCCGCTCCTTCACTCACTGTCATACACCCAGGCAGGCAGGCCAGCCTACTATGGGCCCCTGGCTGACGTGTCAGTCTAACAGAGCGCGACAGACGTCAATCCTTAATTAATCACGTATACGCTGCAGGGGCTCAAAACATTATTTAACGACATGGAAAACATTCTAATAAGCTTGTCGCACTGCCAAGGCGCAATAGAAACCCAGCCAGGAGGGCATATACACACACACACAGTTTTTCCTGCCTGTCCTTTGTTTTGGGAGACTCCATTCATCTCCCCTCAGCTTCGTCTATGGGGTATGGAACAAGGCCAGATTTAAATACAAGCAAGGGTGTGGTTAAAAGAAGGGGAAGATGACAAGTAGCATTCTTCATCACCACTGATTGGATGACAATTTCCAAAACAAAGCTTCAACAATCATAAATCACAGGGCATCTCTATGACCCCTGTCCTCACTCCTAACAGTTGATCTCAAATATCTGTAATGGGTACTGGCATAATTAGATACACATACCTAAGTAAAGTGTTTGCCTGAACTACAATAAAAACCAACAGGTGAATAAGAATCACTGAGTCATAACAAAATGGCACATCACATATGGAAAAGTACATGGCAAATTGGCAACTACAAATGATTGTTTTCCAGCTTTTAGACAGGGCCGGTGCATGTGCATGACATGAGTTTGAGTAGTGTGCCATCTAGTGCTGAATAGAAAAACAATTGGCAACTTCACTGAGGTGCCACCTGCTGGCCTTACCTGGTCACTGCTGGTGAAGCCCTTGTGCATGATGTAGTAGAGGTGCACCAAGAAATCACTGTTGGGGAGCACATCCTGGTGCCTGGTCATCATCTCACAGATCAGCTTGTAGGCCTGCAACTTGCCCGCTTTGTATTCTTCTGGCAGCATGGTGGCCTGTAGAGAAGAGACACATGCTGAGCTCAGTATTATGAGGAATCAAAGACAGACATAATTAATGTCTCTCATGTTGCAGGAGCGGCTCACAAAGTCATATTTTGTCCAGACTTTTCCACAGTAGAAAGGTTTTTACCATAGGAATCAATTGCAACCAATGTAAATTCAGTGTAACCACATTTTTTTGCTGGCCATCAATGAGACAAACTATACACAGGAATTTGACTTGCTATATGTGCTGCTAAACTATAACACACATTAAAGGTAACCCTCACTTCCTTGTTTTCAGCACACTGATCAGGTTATGTCTCAGAAGCATTTTATTAATGAGTATTTTCTGAGTGTTGCATGCTCTTCCTATGTGCTGTTAATACCCTGAAGAGCCAGGAGGCAAGCATTCGAAGAGGAGGGATGAAGGCTGGCTGGGGAGGAGAAGACTGGTTGTCTACACTGATCCCAAGGTTGTCCCGGATCTGTAAACACACATTTAATTTCAGCCAGTGAACATAACCATCATATATAATCACTGTATGCATATGTGCAACAGCAAAGGCATCTGCTTTAAAATGCTATCATTTAGAAATATTAACTAAAATAAACGGGCACTATTATCATAATTAGATACTCAAAATGTGCTTTATACACAAGGACCACTTAAAATCAATCATCATTTAACAGTAAATCACTGTGTAGATATGTGTCAGTGATCTCGCTGTTAGAGAGGGTATACACTTTTTCCTCATTTGAGATTAAGTGCCTCATATGCAGGTGCTTTTTGCCTCTCCACCTCACCTTGGCCAGCTTGTGCCACAGCTCATAGAGATAGGAGAAGACTCTGGCGTGGATTTTGGGGCAGCGAATGTTGTTGACATCTCCCAGGATACCCAATATCCTCCTCCAAAGGACGAAAGCCGAATCAGCATGCCAACCAGTCAGGGTCCCACCGGCAATGATGCTGACATCATCAGCAAGACACTCGCTGCTGTCTGCATGGTCAGCGAGAGAGAGAGTTTGGGGTGGGTTGGGTCAGATGATTAATTATTTGGTAACACCCTATGTGTAGCTGTTAGTATCTAATACAAACTGAACCCAATTTAACTTTATTGAGGACATGGATTCAGTCAACAAATGATGAACACCTTTCAAATAATTTTACACTATGAGGCTTGTTTTTAATCCGAAGGCGGGATCGTCTCTGTTTGACCAATTGCTGACCAAATCTTTAGTCACTGTGCATTTCCCAAATGCATCCAAACACTAAGATCTTTGTCCACTGACAAAGCAGTGAAATACTTTTTAAATGTTTCGGGGAAATAGGCACAAGCCACATGCATCATCAAAATAAACTCAGATTAGATAAAAGGAAGACAGTGCCACCTAGTGGGGAACAGATGAGGAGGGAGAAGAGGCCTGGAAAAGACAGACAAGGATCAGCAGATGGGAGATGATTTTTCAGCACAATGTTTAAATTAAAATATACAGAAATTAGGACATGTCAAATGGGAGTATAAAAAAAGCTGAGGAAGCAAAGGTAAGGTTGAAAATATAGTGCAATATAACGGAGAGTGAATGGTAAATGAGGGCTCTATGGTCTGATGAGTAGCAACTAAGTAGCAGTACCCAAGTGGTGTGGCATGTGTAAGACAGACTGATGCATGGTGTCGTCCAGAGGGCAGTTCTGTGGGCACTCTGTGTGCACCAGCAGGGCTGGTGAAGTGGGGGGGTTCTGGGGATGGTGGTAGTGGTAGGATGGGTGTGCTGAGTAGGGAGGGAAGGCACACGCAGGACCTAAAAACAACAAGGGGAAAGGGATCAAACTGGATTTGAGGGAGGGAGCATAGGGACAAAGGAAGAGTGACAACTTGATGATGACCACAGTGAGGGACAACCCAAACAGAAGTTCACATACAAAGATGGGAAGAACAGAAGAGCAACGACAATCTGTCCATCAATAGTAATGGAAGGGGTAAACTAAAACCTAAAAGGTTTAAAGCTGAGCAAGTATTTTCATTATTTTCCCACGTGAATATAGATAACTATCATTAACAGATCTTAAAAATATCTGTCAAAATCAAATGGCAGAACAAACGTTACTCTGCCTTCAGAAAAAAAAACACAATCCGTCAGCAGCACATAGAAACAGGTTGACTTTCTTTACCAAGTCACTCTACTCACCTTTGATAAATCAATCAAGGGTGAGGAACCAAAACCTGATTTTTTTTTCCTCCAGCTGATACAATTATTTATTTGCTACTGAACACCTGATCAAAAAGCTAAAAAAGGCAAAGTGCAGACAGGATTAACATCTCCTTTTAACAGCCACTTCCCTGTAACTGCCCTTAGTTGTCTCTTCATTGTATTTTCTCTGTCTGCTTATCAACTGTTCCTAACAGGTGTGTGCATAACATTATATTTATCAAACACATACCAGGAAATAAAAATAAATTAACACCTTAAATAAATGTACAGCAAAAATCTGTTGTTGGTACTGAAGGAGAGTTCTTATCAACAGCGATACCTGCTAGAGCCTCGTTGTGGCTGAGCAGCAGACTCCCCTGGTTCTGGGGGTCGGCTATCACATCCATGTGCGCTGACTGTGTGGACTGAGTGTCAGCCTCCTCATCAAAGGCCTGCCAGGTAACGTCAGCTTCGTTGAGGTAGCCATTGGATGTCTCACTGCTTATACTTTCACCTAGGTAGGGTGGGTGATTGAGGATGATAAAGGAAAGAAATTGTTTAATACAGGGAAGTGAGAGACAGAAGGCACAGGCTGGGTAAGGAAAATGATTAGTGAGCTTTTTTAATACCTCAGTGTTTGTTTTTATACTTATTAACAACAATACTTCATGTGGAATACGTACTATACAGTATATTTAAACTGATGATCATTTTAAAGAAATACTTAGTGATCTAATCTCTAACTTTTCTCTCTAAGCTTGGGCCTTGTGTAGCTCGTCTCAGCAGTGCACTCCGTCTCAGATGGATTACTGCTCTGCCGGATGAGAATCTAGGAACACAGAAGTACACATTAAAGAGATACTTGTATTGGGAAAAACTTATTTCATGATATAATACTATTGTACAAGGTGTTTCTTCTCACCACTGGTGTCTCACTGTTCACTCTCCTCCCTTCAGACGTCCTGCTTTCAGCTCCGCATGAAATAGGGGAACGCTCTCTCTTCTGGGCTGAAGTGTAACATGGGACAGTAGAAACAGGCAGTGAGACCACAAATAAGTTGCCTTTATGTACTTGAGTGTAACTGGACAGCTAAGGATTTTTAACATCTGGCCATGAACTATGGATGAAAAACTGTCTTAAAAGCTATCTCTGACTCAATTAAAGATGTATCCAAAATGAGCTCGGTCCCTTTCAAAAAAACTAAGCCAAATGCATCTGAATCCACATAGGATTAAAACCCAAGTGCCTGGTCTCCCCAGCTCCTCTCTGTGCTGTCAGTGGTAAACTGTATCCAGTCACCATAATGAGAGATGCAGAGATCCATATTAAATATTGCATTTCATGTCCAAAAAAGCAAAATAAGATAAAAAAAAACTCCAGCAGATATCACATCAAGAAATATTTTAAAATGTACATTATTGCAATTTTTAACCATCAAAGGATTGCCTCAGATTCTAGCCTCCAGTCTAACACTATTTTACCATCACTATCTGGCCAGCACACCTATCACATCTGATGTGATTAAAAACAAACAAATAAATGGATGAATGAATGAATGAACATAACAGGTTTATCAAAGACTGACTTTTTGCCAGATTATTTTACTGGACTGCATTAAATGATCTTGCAATGAATAAGCAGGCAACTCAACAAATGACTTTTTTCTCCATTTCATCTAGCTACCTTGTAACTTCCCAGCATCTCAGCTAAATCTTATACAAACACAATCCTGATGTGAGGCAAATATGTACAATCTGTCCAGGTCAGATGAACAACCCGTGGGCAATACACATACATTTTGTCTTTATATATATATACCTGGCAAAGAGTCAGAGAGTTGTTGGGTGATGTCCGAGGTGCTGCTGCTACGCTGCAGAGGGCTCTCCCCGCCTCCCAGCTCCTCCTCTCCCCCACATTCAGACAGCTGACACTCCTCCACATCTGACAGTTAGGAAACGACAAAACACAAGTTAGGAAGAGGCATAACACCAAATACCATCAAACAAAACATTACACGGAAACACACAGGGATAAGTCTTGTTATTTTATGAAATTTCAGACACAACGTACATGAGAACATTGCAGAACAGAGAAGACATGCACACATGCAGTGGTGACGTAGACCTCATTGTGTTCTAGACTCTATTCTTACATCCTGCATAAAACAGCAAGGCTACACTTGAGATTTTTACATTTTTCAATAATTAAGGACAGTTTTAGATTATGTTAAAACATAAACCTTTGCTCCAAATGCTGTCACGACAGACACCGGTAGCAAATGACAGACAGTAACAGATCGATGGCAGAGGCAGGGTGGAGCTCACATACAGAAAAACACATGCAGCTCTCAGTTTACACTTTACCTGATAGTCTGTGAGAGCAAGCAGAGTTACCAGAAGAGATACCAGGCAAGAAAGAGCTCACAGTATGGAGCAGCATAGGAACGCTTTTAGTAGTGGGCAAAGCCTCGTACAGATGAACACAGTTGCTGATGGACTGGCTTCGCTTAGCTTCCATCAGGGAGAAAAAGAGGAGGCAAAAGAAAAGACAAAGAAAGTGAGACAGAGAAGAGGTAAAGGGAAGAAGACAAGATTCAGTGACAGCAGAGTACAGAATGCTACAAAGGTGCTTTCATTAACAGACAGCAGTCAGGAGCAAAGAGAAAATGAAGCACTGCAGGACCAGAGTTCAACATTTGTTCACAGCTGTGTATGAGAGACATTTATGGAAAAATATTGGCCGACTGAAGAAATCCTAAAAAAAGATCTACACCAGGAAAAATTCTTATTGAAACCAAACTTGAAGTCAGTGAAAATTCATAACGGGAGTACAAGTTTATTGCATGTTCTGATACTCAGTATTTTTGCATGATGCAGCATCACACTGACATTAGTTAAGATTATAGATTTTGAGAGTATAAAATATCTTAAGCCCATAACAGATACAAACATGCTCAGATATGTCTTTGTAAAGAATGTTACTACAGTATATAGTGATGGTTTTAGATTTGGAAAAAAAAAAAGTACTGCTCAGTGTCTATTTAAGAGATCCATGTCAAGATATGTTTATGTAAAACAACTACTGGTCATTACTGACATATACACAATAGACATGGTGTCACCACTTCCCTTCACTATGCAAAAATGAAGCCAAAATAGCATGAATACGGTGGCTGCCATCTTGCTTTTTTGCCATTAGGTCCTGCGCCGTAGTGACCAGAAGTGGAGTGACAGCATTTAACCGCTAATCAAAGCCATCAAATCAAATACACCTCATTTTATATCATCAAATAACTTATTAAAAACAAGCTTACCAGAAAAATTACCACTTATACACAAATCATCCTGATATCTACCAAAACCCACAGAAATCAGCTCTGGGAAAATCTGATTTGATTTGTAATTTGAGTTTTAATTTTGGTTCCTGGCGGAGTTCCCGGCGGGATTTGGGACATTAATGCAACCAGCCACCAGGGGGCGTTTGTGTTGTGGTGCTTTCAATTCTAGGAGCTGTTCTACCAGAGGCCTAGTGTTAAGATAAATATGTTGTGTACTACTTGCTTAAGAGTAACTTGCGTGTTTAGGACACCAAATCACCAATAAACAATATGGACCATAACCACAACATTTAGCCTTATTTACATCTAAATAATATGATCTAATGATTTTACAATTAAGGCAACATTAATAAAGATACACCCAATAACCATCCCAGCAATGGCAGAATGAGAGCTGGTTTAACTGGGTCTCTGTAGTGGTGGAAGTTTAATGAGCATAAGAATGAAATGTCTGCTGTTGTCTAGTCTTTTTCCACCATCAAGACAAGATCTCAGAATGATATTAGTTTGTATTTGGGTGTGTCTGAGTACAAGTTTTGCTAGTCATCAATGTTGAGGCATTGCTATTGTGTCTGGATAGCATTTCAGGCTTAATCTCAAAGAGACCAATGAAAAAGGACAGCTCTATTTTCTGTTTTCAGCACACTTTAATTATGCCTTTCAGTTCAGAGAGCTACATCATCTCTGCTTCAGCCCACCACTGCTTCCCATTTATGCATATTAAAGAGCATTAATTACACTCTTAATGAAACTATCAAAAACTGCTGTGCAATTGATGTGTGGGCCTTCTCTTGAGGAGCAGGGAGGATTGCTGCTGGCCCTTTGAAAATCTGTGTGGGAGAAATCCAATTAGGCCAAAGAAAGGGAAGGGAATTTGAAGCGGTAGTGTTTAATGTCCATCTTTGCTTGCATGCAGATACAAATAAACTGACTAACAGAACAGAAGCATAAACTAAAAATATATATATAAGCATACAAAAATACATAAACAGCTCAACAAACTTGTTCTTTTTAGTACATTGGTGGTAACTGGGGAGGCGGAAGGCCGGGGAATGAAAAGGAACCGCGTCTGTCTTTCATCCTCCACATTAGGATTTTGTCTAGCCAAATTAAGACAAGCAGGCACTGCTGCTAGTTGCTACTCTACTGCCTTCCAGCTCAGTTTATAATTAACCTGCCACAGTCCCATCAGATAAGGTGTGTTTGCTGTGTTTAAATTGAGCTAATGACAATAAGTGTCCAAAGCTGGTCTTTGACATGCCATCGGGGGGATTGTGTTGTATGACTGCAATCGAGCTGACATGGAAACACGCTGACACTGGCCGGTGACATGTGAGGGGAACAATGGGGGCCATCTGCTGGCCTCTTTGTCTTGGTGTTAGGCTTTTCAACGGCACCTGCACTAGTGCACCTGTCTAGAGGCTTTCACACTCAATAAATGTATTTGACAAAGCCCATGGTGTGACATTCTGTTCCAGAAGCTTATCAGCGTTGTGCTGTTGACCCACACAAAGCCAGGAGATTAATACAGCATGGATATAAAAAAAAAAAAGGATATCCATGTGGAGGTTCATCCCTTTGTAATTAATTTTGGTCTGCTTTGATTAATTAGTAATATACAGCTAACACAACAATACTGCTATCACTGGCATTACAAGTGCTTACCAGAGGCCTTCTGTCGGACGTTGTTTCGGGCCTTCTCTACCCCAGGTGCTCCTGATGTAGTGGCAGAGCGAATCCTCATGGGCTCCTGAACTCCTGAACCGCCCTGCTCCCCCTGGTTCCTCCAGCTCAGTGAGAAGGAGCGAGCCACTGCTGCTGCCTTCTGGGAGTCCTGGATTACTCCTGACATACAAAGAAGATCACCTACTGAGTACTGAAGTGACAGTGTACTTTTTTTTATAATCAGCTTTATATTTGGATTTAGCACCATCACAACACACTGGCATGCAGGAGAGTTCTCTGTGGCTTTAAACAATACAGAGTTTAGATGCTTTCATGTGCCCTTTGTTTAAAATGCCACAGATGGCTTTAGTGACTGTCAAGATTAAAGTCTGATTGTCCATTTCCTAACACATGCATTGTGGTTTGGATCTGAACACAAGAACACACTTAAAGCACTAGCGGGTAGAATTTGAGAGTTTGTTTTTGCAACCAGCAGGCTTAGTATAAAAAAGAACAACAGACAGGAGCTGGGCAGCTTATGTTACAGCTGTCGTGTTGAGCCAACAGTCTAAAAACAAAAGTATTCAATTTACAAAGACACACTTTGCACTTGGAAAGCTAGAAATGTTCAGTATTCCTTCTTTAACAATTTGATACTGGTTTAATTGACTGAGTCTGTCTTTTTTTTTTTAAAGTTCTGTTGATTAACAATGAATTCAGTCACTAATTTTCAACATTAAACTGTGGTTTAATGGGCCACATCCATTTGAGCAGTGGGTCATGATAAATGTGTTAACTGGTCACCATCATTTCAGAAAATTTGTTATACATGTGTATTACGGAGCAAAATTCACACAAGTGAGTTTCAGTGCAAATGATGTCAACTTAGACACTGAAATGCTTCAAAATATGTTATTTTGAAAAACTCCAGTGCTTCCGTTTAAAACCCTAATGTTCAATATAGAAGATACAGAGTCATTAAAAAGGTATTATTCCCACTTTTAGACTCTCGTGTAGTTTTTTTTTTTTTGTCAATGTAGTTATCCAAGTATAATCTTTTCAGTTTTCATTTTCAAATCTTTTTCTCAAGTTTCCCATTCCCCCATCTCTCCCCCTCACCACGTCCTCTCTGTTTTTTCTCTTTCTGTTCACTGAGCTTGTCCAGAGGCAGGTTGGCCATGTCCAGGCCATAAACGGTGCGTGCCAGCACAGCCGTGAGTGAGTCCATGATGCTGGCCCACTCCGTCACCAGCTCCTCCCAGCAGGTGAGAGAGGACAGCACTGCCAGCAGCTCATCCCATAGCTCCCGGGAGATAAATACGGACAGGTTGGCTCGCACCCACGCCACAATGATGGTCTGAATGCGAGACGAAATGACGAGAGATGGATTAGCACCGACAGAAGCAAGAAACTGCAGCCCCAGATTAGATGTGACATGAATCTCTCACTGTCATCTAATCTGGTTTAGCACGTTCTTGAGTTTCTGTCCACACACACATACAGGTCATGCGGAAAACAGGAGCAACAAATGTTAGCGGTTGCACATAAAAAAAACGTTTTGTAATTACACTGCACTATAAGCAACACAGTACTGAGACTAGGTGATAACATATACACACTCATTCCCTCCTCTGTTTTGAAGTGATTAAAATAACCTGTGTACCAGGTAATGTAAAATTTAAGCAAATGCAGACATACCCTAAAGAGTAAAGATGCTAAACTTTCAGCAAAACTGTCTTTTCTTTGGTTTTCCTGTGGCCTCTTCATGACTGCTTCAGTGATCCTCAGCAGTACCTGCAGCAACTGCTCCCTGGAGAACACAAACAGAAAAACCACATCAAATGACATTTCATGAAGTCATGAAGGAATGACTCACAAAAACCTGTATGTACAGTATATGTGAATATCTCACTGACCACGTCTGTGTATTCATTGTGTGCTCCATGATCATGTGCCGGTAGATGCTAAGAACACCTTTGCACACCTCAACCTGGTTCTCCAAGAGCTTAGGTACATCTTGGCATGGTTCCAACAGAAACACGTTGGATGAATTGGTCAGAAACACCTATACACATATGCATGAAGACACAGTAAGAATAAACAAAAAATATGATACAAAGTAATACCAGACAAAGTGCATACAGCTAAGAAGTACAAACTCTAATCACTTCCTGCTGTGATCTCAGGTTAAATAACACATCTCTCTGAACATGCAGACCTGTAGTGTGGGCTGGACACCAGCTTTGACATCCCTGTTCTCCTCTTCGGTGAGAAAGCCTCGATTTATGGCGCTGCTGAATGAGTAGGTCCTCCCCCAGCTGGATGAGCGCTTGTGACCATGACTCTCTAACATCTTGTAGAAGACAAGGCAGGCCAGTCAAGTGCTCAGTAGATTTAAGATGAGTTACTATGTTAAATAGTAGTTTCTTTAACTTATTTTTAATTATACATTATTATTAAGATGTTATCAAAACAAGGGCATAAAAGCCTGTAAAAATGTCTTAACAACACTACCACAGCTTTTACCTGTGTGTGCATGCTGTTTGTCTCTGTTCTAAGTATCTGTTCCGAGCCGTCATCTATTTCATCTTCCTGAGCAGTTTTGTCAGGCTCTGTCATGAAGTTGGGCTTCTCCTGCAGGATCCACTTCCTGTACACTTTGATAACCTTCCTGGTTGCTGACGCCTCACAGGATGGCAGCAGAAAAGCCTTAGGAGGCAGAACGTGGTCTTTCAATTTGAACTGATTCAGTGTTCTGAATAGTTTTAAAGGGTGGTCATTTGTAGGAAGGACATTCAAGTTATGTTATCAAATGGTCAGCAGAGGGCGACAAAGTACATGTTATCACTGTAGCCAACATCATAAACCATAAGAAAGCTATATATAGTGCCTACCTGTAATTAATGTTTAAACAAAGAAATATTGCTTGCTGAGCCACTGTACCTGGTGGAAGACCTCATTTACAAAGTTCACATTATCCCTGGTGGAAAGCAGGATGGCGTGCACCATGTCATAGACATAGCGATGCTCCTCCTCAATGCTACACAAACTGGAATCGCTGGGTCGTCGATCTGACAGTGTGCTGCTGTTGGAGTGGTTCTTCTCAGGCTCCCCCGTTAGCCCGTTTGCATCCCCATCTGATGTCTTATCCTTCTCCTTCTCCTGGCTGCTACTGCCTGCAGTGACAGTCTGGCCACAATAGAGACATCATGAAAAATGAGAGCCCCTTAGTATGCTGCAGGGCTGCCTATTCACAGTCAAATAACAAGTCACTTGGGGCTCACCAACAAGGCATTCCTCTGATCAGTTATTTGTGGTTTATGGTCATTGTATGGGGAATGAGCTTCTGTATTGGTCATTATAGTGAAATGACTCCCACCTCTGTGTAATATTATTATTATTATTCATTGTGCATTTCACTCTTTTCATTCCCAGGAAACTACAGCATCGTATATACACTCAGTTGCCACTTTACTAGGTACACCTATTTACAACTAATGCAGGAAAACGCAACAGTCAATTAAATCCTCCTTTCATGAAGGTTGTTTGTGTTGAAACTGTTTTAGAGAAGTCCTGATTCAACTATATGACCATTTTGGAGGCTGCAGTTTGTGGTGCTGTTCAACTGTACCACATTATACAGAGGTGTCTCTGCTACAGATATCGATATAAACAGGCTTGCTGAAATAACACACGCGTATGAATACAGTCCATGTGTGTGGATATTTGCTTAAAAATATAGCACTTTGTGTCCAGATGTCATACACTGTTACAAGTATTCAGGGGTTTTGCTGCAAAAATACACTAATGACGGGTCTGCCTCTTCAATAAGAGAAATCAACAGAAGGGTATTTTCCAGCTCACCTGGATGAGCTTGGGAATGACCTCAGAGCCGTTCTTGGCGCTCTGCGCCGCAGCAGCACTGCTGACATACTTCTTCTCCAGGAAGAAGGTGACCAGCCAGGTGATGAAGGCCACACGGGGTGCCAGGTACTGGTCCCTGGTGCAGAAGGTGCTCTCATTGTTCCGCGTCACTGGCACATACAAGGGTTTTGGTCTGTGGTGGGGGAGGTCTGATCAAGTAAGACAAAAGAAGATGGTTAAGAAAAGAACACTAGAACTACGGCCACATTATATGTCTTAATGATCAATTCTGATTTTTATGTTCGATCCCAGGACGAAGACGAGGATGAAAACCACATTCGTCCTGGCCATGGAACACTGGACCAGCGCTATACCCTCTTCAGGGTGATGGAGGGTTCATGGGAGTTTGCCCAACCAGTCCACGTGTGTTTCAGGCATTTGACCGTGTCCCTCGCGGCACCCTGTGGGAGGTGCTCCAGGAGTATGGGGTCCGGGGCCCTTTGCCAAGGGCTGTCTGGTCCCTGTACGACCGGAGCAGGAGCTTGGTTCGCATTGCCGGC